ACCTTCCATCGTCACTACCGATCGTGGTCCCCAGTTTCAGTCTATCTTATTTCAGGAATTCACAAGACTTCTGGGCGTGAACCACATCAAAACAACAGCCTACCACCCAGCAGCTAACGGCTTGGTCGAAAGATTTCACCGCCAATTGAAAAGCTCGCTGATGGCACAAGATGATACGACAGAATGGAGTGACGCATTACCACTTGTACTCCTGGGTATCCGTTCAACTATAAAGGAAGATATAGGTTGTACAGCCGCTGAGCTAGTTTACGGTACAACCCTTACATTACCAGGTCAACTAGTGGACCCGAACACTTTAACACCAACGGACCCAAGTCGTTTTGCTAGCCAACTGCTGCAAACCATGCAACGAATCAAAGCTATACCGCCTCGTGAACATAAAAATCGAATACAACTGAACAGAAATCTAGAAACATGCAAGTTTGTCTTCGTTCGAGTTGATGCAGTCAAAAAGCCATTGAAACAACCTTATGAAGGACCATATCAAGTAATTAAAAGAACGAACAAACACTTCATAATCAATAAGTGTGGAAAGAAAGAGACTATTGCTATCGATAGAATAAAGCCTGCTTTCTACGAAGCACACCACGACAAAGAACATACTACTTCACTGAACCAACCCCGTCCAGCAACCACCACTACAGCAGACATGGAAGAAAAACTGAGTATCAAACCTACTTGTTTAACGCGCGCAGGCAGAGCTGTAAAAAAACCTAAACGCTACGTACATTTCGCCGAATAAAAAAAACCTAAACGAACAATTATCGATGTACTATACCATTATACTCACCCGATTTTTCCCAACAAAATCTATGATTTTTTTTCAGTGTACATAATTATTCTTTTTTTTTCCACAATTATTCGTTTTGTCACATTTATTTTTTTTATTTATAAAAAAAATAATTTTTGTTACTGTAATAAACGAGTAAACTCTATTTAATTACCCATATAATATTTACAATAATAACCAATTAACAATGTGGAGATGCGTATGACATGTACGTTAATAATATACAGTGTGTTATTGCGTGAAAATAGCGGTGATATGGCATAGCATGACAAACAAAAGTAATGAGAATACCGTCATTTAAAAGCTTGGTTTGCTAACAATGATAATAATGTGCAGAGTGTTACTGAACCCTCCCAAAAAAAGGAAATTGAACTGTTTGTTTTTGTGTACAATATATGGGTAATTAAATAGAGTTTACTCGTTTATTATAGTAACAAAAATTATTTTTTTATAAATAAAAAAAAGATAAATGTGACAAAACGAATAATTGTGGAAAAAAAAAGAATAATTATGTACACTGAAAAAAAATCATAGATTTTGTTGGGAAAAATCGGGTGAGTATAATGGTATAGTACATCGATAATTGTTCGTTTAGGTTTTTTTTATTCGGCGAAATGTACGTAGCGTTTAGGTTTTTTTACAGCTCTGCCTGCGCGCGTTAAACAAGTAGGTTTGATACTCAGTTTTTCTTCCATGTCTGCTGTAGTGGTGGTTGCTGGACGGGGTTGGTTCAGTGAAGTAGTATGTTCTTTGTCGTGGTGTGCTTCGTAGAAAGCAGGCTTTATTCTATCGATAGCAATAGTCTCTTTCTTTCCACACTTATTGATTATGAAGTGTTTGTTCGTTCTTTTAATTACTTGATATGGTCCTTCATAAGGTTGTTTCAATGGCTTTTTGACTGCATCAACTCGAACGAAGACAAACTTGCATGTTTCTAGATTTCTGTTCAGTTGTATTCGATTTTTATGTTCACGAGGCGGTATAGCTTTGATTCGTTGCATGGTTTGCAGCAGTTGGCTAGCAAAACGACTTGGGTCCGTTGGTGTTAAAGTGTTCGGGTCCACTAGTTGACCTGGTAATGTAAGGGTTGTACCGTAAACTAGCTCAGCGGCTGTACAACCTATATCTTCCTTTATAGTTGAACGGATACCCAGGAGTACAAGTGGTAATGCGTCACTCCATTCTGTCGTATCATCTTGTGCCATCAGCGAGCTTTTCAATTGGCGGTGAAATCTTTCGACCAAGCCGTTAGCTGCTGGGTGGTAGGCTGTTGTTTTGATGTGGTTCACGCCCAGAAGTCTTGTGAATTCCTGAAATAAGATAGACTGAAACTGGGGACCACGATCGGTAGTGACGATGGAAGGTACTCCGTAATTTGCTATCCAACGGTCAAGGAATACGCCGGCTACTGTTTCTGCAGAAGTGTCAGCAATAGGGCATGCTATGGTCCATCTTGTGAACCTGTCCACCGCAGTGAGAATATGAGTGAATAAATTAGATGGTGGCAATGGACCAACTATGTCTAAGTGGATATGCTGAAAACGTTTATCCGGCAGGGGATACTTGCCAACTGGACTGATCGTGTGTTTCTGAATCTTGCTGCGTTGACATTGTAGGCAGCTTCGCGTCCATCGTTTTATATCTGAATTGATTTTTGGCCACACAAAACGCTCAGTAACCAATTTGATTGTGGCTCTGATTCCTGGGTGAGAAAGGTCATGCAGTTGACGAAATACCTGTCGACGACATGCTAGAGGTACAAAAGGGCGATGGTTACCCGTTGAAACATCGCAAATGATAGATGTATCTGAGAAAGGGATGGGTACTGGTTTAAGGTTCAAGTTAGACTTCTCCTGGCAGACCTTCAAATCTGCATCGTCTACTTGTAGTTTTGCGATTGTTTCTAGATCGATGTCTTGTTTACGTAACAGGGTATTTACGTCCTTACGTGACAATGCGTCAGCTTCGACGTTGGTGTGTCCTTTGACAAATTGGATATCTGTCGTAAACTGGGAGATGTAATCCAGTTGTCGTGCTTCGCGAGGTGAATGTCGGTCGTACGATGTGTGGAATGAGTAACATAAAGGTTTGTGATCGGTCATGATGGTAAAAGTTCGTCCTTGTAGTAAAAAGTTAAAGTGTTTAAGGGCTAAGTAGATAGCAAGTAACTCCCGTCCAAAGGTACTATAGCGTTCCTGGGCTGGTGACAATCTTTTGGAGAAAAACGCTATGGGGGTAGTCATATTGTTTACCTGTTGTTGTAATACTGCCCCGACGGCTTTTTGAGATGCATCGGTACACAGAATTAAGTGGGTTGTGGGGTCAGTTTAGATGTTGTAGCATGGTGGCATTAGCTATCATCGACTTTGCTTTTTCAAACGCTGTTTTGGCATCAAGAGATAGGTTGAATGTCTGAGTCTTCTCTTTCTTCGTACCTTTTCTGTCGGTTTTCAAAAGATCGGTTAATGGCTGTAATACTTCAGCACAATGTGGTAAGAAGCGGCGATAAAAATTACACATACCGAGGAAGCGTCGTAATGACTTCACCGAGGTTGGTTCGGGATAATTGGTAATAGCTTCAACCTTTTCTGGGAGTGGTTTGATGCCTTGAGAGTCAATGTAATGTCCTAAAAACTCTAAGGCTGGGACTGCGAATATGCATTTCGAAGGATTGATGACGACGCCATGTTTTTTAAAACGTTCAAAAAGGGTCTGGACATTTTGGACATGCTGTTCTAAAGATGAGCTTGCAATGAGAACATCGTCGATGTAGGCAAACACGAAATCAATGCCTCTTGTGACATCATCCATGAATCGCTGGAATGTCTGCGCAGCGTTTTTCAATCCGAATGGCATCCTTAGAAACTCAAACAAACCAAAAGGTGTTATTATGGCTGTTTTCTCAATGTCTTCCGGTGCCATTGGAATTTGGTGATATGCTCGCTGTAGGTCGAGGTTCGAAGAAATGCATTTACCGTGTAGGTTTAATGAAAAATCGTGTATATGCGGCCTGCTTGAATATCTGGGCTACCTGTTCCTCCGATCTAGATATTTCATCAAGTTATCTGTTTTTTTGTTTGTTTTAGCACATCATTATGTCTATTGTGCACACAATCAATTCATGCGTGTTTATGGAAAGTTTACAACCTTTCGCTATATGGGATACAAAAAGGTACAATCAGCGACATCATGGTGGCCGGCAATATGCATTGAAACGAATGAACATTAATCAAATGTGGATTACCGAACTCCTAACATCTAACTGGTCATCATTCAAAATTTATCGTCAAAATCGATCGAGGTATAAGAAAACGAAACTTGTTGAAATACTTTATGCTGAGAATTCTATGTTGTACCAAAAATATAATGTTGAATAAAGCTAATAATAATAATAATAATAATAATAATAATAATAATAATAATAATAATAATAATAATTGGGTACTTGTCGGGAATGTTTTGATTGTTTAATCGTCGATAGTCAACACACGGACGCCAATCTTGGTCCTTCTTTGGTACCATGTGTAACGGCGAGGCCCATGGGCTGTTGGATGGTCTGATAATACCAAGTTGCATCATATGTTTGAATTCTCTTTTAGCTACTTGCAACTTGCTTGGTGGTAGTCTCCTCGCCCTGGCGCTAATAGGGGTACCGGTGGTAATGATATGGTGTTGTACCTGATGTGGGTTACATTCCTTTTGATAATCTGATTTTGTGATGCACTCGTATTCTGACAGGATGTCGTTGAAAACGTTGTTCACAGGCTTCATTATTCCAACACCATGGATTTCGTTGTCGTTGGAGAGTGTACCATTTACCTGTAAACGTGTGTTTACGTCGACTAATCTCTTGTTGGTCATATCAACTAAAAGGTTGTACGCACTAAGAAAATCGGCCCCGAGAATGGGTCGTTTGACTTCAGCAACTATGAATACCCATGTGAATCGTCTACGGAGCCCGAGATCTAATATAAGAGATTGTTCTCCATAAGTTTTGATAACTGATTCGTTAGCCGCTACCAAGGACAATTTAGTGCTTATCGTATGTTGTCTGCGTGAGAGATAGAGTGGGATGATGCTGATTTCTGCTCCAGTATCGACTAAGAAGTCTGAGCCAGAAATACGATCCCTGATGTGGAAGAGGCGGCTGACATGTTGGCCAGTAACAGCTGCCGCTATTACTGTCTGGCCACTTCGTTTCCCTGATGGTCTGACTTGCTTGTAGTGAAGTTGCACGGTTTTGTGCAACGACGTGCTTTCTGACCATAATTCGAATGATACCAACAAATTCCGGCTGCCCGCTTAGGTGACCTAAGACGATGTCTGGTTAATGATCTCCTTCTGGACCTAGATCTGGGGCGTCGAGAATGGATGGTGGAGATAGTCGCCTGCAGTGATGCTAGCTGACGTGTTAAGTGTGCCAATTGATGCTGCATGTCAAGAGTAGGGTTCATAGCATCTCTACTAGCGGGTTGTACTGCGTAAATTTCCCGACTATCGGGATATATTTCTATCATCTTATCGGCCATGTCTGCTAAATCATCAAGACTGACAGAGGCTCCTGATACGCTGAGAATTTATCTGACGCTATAAGGTAACTTTTGTAACCACATCTGCTTAAGTAATGCTTCGTCTAACTTGCATGAACCTGCTAGTTGTCTCATATGTCTAAGCAACTGTGAAGGTCTTTTGTCCCCTAACTCGCATGCGGTGAGTAGTTGCTGTAAGCGTTTTTCATCAGACTGCGAAGTACGGTGGATTACTGCGGCTTTTATTTTGTCATAGGGGTCCGTTTCTGGTACGTTATCTATCAGGTCTCCGACTTCTGCTGCCACTTCTATGGGTAATGCTCCAACGACGTATGCATATTTTGTCGCTTGCGAGCGTATACCTCTCGACAAAAATAATGCCTCAACTTGTGCAAACCAGATCCTGGGATTATTAACACCGTACGTTGGTAATCTTAGTTCCGAGATAGCGTTGATTGAGTTTAAAACATTATCCTCTGGTTGTGGAGAGTTTAGAAGGTTGGTCGGTGAACTATCAATATCAATAAGTTTACCCGGAGAGTTCATAATGACAAAAACAAAAATATGGTGTCGTGCCGATCAATAATAATGAAAAAAATTATGTAGATATATATATAGTAAATGTCTATAAAAAAATAATCGAGGCTCACCAAATAATTGTGGTGGACCAAACAATATATAAACGCAAAAGTATCGACATAGTTAATAGCAATCAATAGTAATATTAATATTCACAAGTTAAATGTTACAAATGCAATAACAAATTAGGGACGTTACTTAAATCGGCTAGTCGTTGCGTGTTCTGTTGAGTTTTGGTCTCAAAAATCCACAATTATAAATGCGTAATAATTCCACAGAGGTAAATATGACGCCAATAAGTTTCTTTGACGTAGGATATAATGGGAATGACACTGCAGTCTGAAATGAGGATAATATCCAGTTTAGAACGCAATTGACTTGGTAACGAGCGACAATAGAACAATGGGTATGTGCGTAGTAGTGTATTTGTGAACAACCGAAAATGTGTGTCACGCTATGTTCGAATTACAACGGAAAAAGTGTTCAAGGTCGTTGACTAAAACAACACGTACAGTCATTTAATGATAAATATGCATACAGTGAAAAATTGGCGAAACAAATAGAAATAACATTGAAAACTATTTACAAAATAAGGTTGTCAGGTCTATCTCCACAAGACAAACTCAAACCCTATCAAGGCACTAGTTTTATCGCATTTGTGACGGCCACACATGATGCTCAACAGTGTTTATATTTGATAAGAGGCCCGTGTGGTGATATTATAATCACGTTACTCAGCAATTTAGAAAGCTTTATGTTTTCCTTAAAAAGACTATGCAAATTATACACGTGAATACACTTGTACAGATAGACGAAGATGAGAGGAAAGTTGAGAAATAACAATGTCATCTGTTCTTGAATATAAAATCAAGTATAAGAGAGAAAAGGATCTCAAATCAATTGATCAGTATTGTTTTTATTAGTAGAATTCATGAGTCGATGTAGGCTAGACCACCACTGAAATCCTGGTGGTGCTGGACTGCCGTTTCGTTTCAGTATGGAACTCTTCCATTCATGAAAGCGATTTTAACTCAACAATCTGCACAGCCCTATACTGATAGTTATCATGTTCTCACTAGTAACTAACGTCAAGATGAACTTCCTGGAGTTCTTGAAAGAAGCCGTGGTCTTTGAATTTCAGCCTCTCTTTTTTGATGCCGTCGCTCACTGAAGACAACGATGGATAACCACGCGATGTCATGGAATGGTTGAAGTTAGACATTAACACTGTTGAATACCGGCCCTGTGGTCAAGAGAATGAGCGTTCGCACGTGAGACTGAAGCTCCTGGATACAAGTCTTACGTGAAGGGTCGTGGATTCGCACTGCTGATAATAATTTAATGATTTTTTTATATTCTGAAAATAATAATTACGGAAACCATGCCAGTTTACAGGCATGATCAATTTGATATAAATAGTAACATTAGATGTAGTGAACAAACACGTGATAGAAGTAGGTTTTAAGTATACCAGTTCGGTAGTTGTACATGTACATGTATTACAGCGATCCAATACATCAGCTGGAAATTTTTAATATTTCTTAAATGGACAGCTCGTTGATTCATGAACGGTGTAATGAAAGTCATTTCGTGTGCCAGATCGAATTATTGATAATTATCTACAACTAGAGAAATTAAAACGAAACGGAACAACAAAGCGGTAATTACCAAAACATATGAATCAGGTCTACCTAAATGCGTGTGTCATGTGACACAGTGATATACTGTTGATGTTATTCAAATTAGTTAAACTTTCTGCGGCTGGGTCTTGCCGTAAAGTGACAGCAAATAAGTGGTTTTACTTAGGGAATGCACTTATAATAATGGCTAAACATTTAAAGTCCCTATAATACTACTTGCGGAATGAGATAAACTTACAGGTGCTAGACCATTCAATGCATTTTCAGAGGAGCAGTATGCATCGATGCAGCAAACAAATAATGGGAGTGATTTTATCGTACGGATAGATTGTGGTAGGTTATTCCAGAGTCTAAAAAATTTACAGGTGAAGTAATTCATATACAGAGATGATTTAGAATAAGTTTGTTTCACTAGTGCCAAGGAATTACGCATGTCATAACGAAATGTTTCTGCATATTGAATGTCAACGATATTTTATGAAGTAGGTTGAAGAAAAAGATAAGATTTATTTTGAGTCTACTCCTCCATAAAGGATCTAGCCCAAGTTTATTACATCTAGAAATATAAGTTAAGGTACAATCATCTCCAAGAACACAAAGTGTGAATCGTCTCTGTACTGATTCCAGCCTTAATTTATCCTTTATGCGCGAACTGCTAAGAATAAATATGCAATATTTTAGAAGAGGCCGAGCAAAAACTTTGTACATCAGAATACGTGACTCATTGTTGTAAAGGCTTCGAGTTATGTAACCTATTAGACGTTAAAACTTAGAGGTCTGTTTTAATATCTGTTCTGTAAACGATAAGTCTTGGGAATATCTAAGTCCTAAGTCTACTACCGTATGTAACTTAGATAACACTTCTCTATTTATCGTAATGTCTAGGTTGAGTGATGTATCGCCGAAGCATATTCATCCACATTTAGCCGAATTAAGCTCCAGCTGCCATTTTAAGCACCACTGTGCCACCTTGTCAGGCTCCATGCTGATGCAATTTTGCATATTTTCCAGCTCATATGGAGAAAATGAATATACTACTTTAGATCATCTGCATATAGAAGGGGCTTACCGACACAAAAACTTCCACAAATATCATTGATAAACACTAAAAAGAGCAAAGGACCTTAAAGACTACCTTGTATTACACCACTTCTAACAGGGACAGCGTTAGACAATGAAGAGTTAATTTTAACTACTTGATGTCGATTGCTGAGAAAGGAATCAAACCAAGCTAGCAAAGGATTTTGAACCCCATAAGATGCGAGCTTACCTATAAGAAGTTGGTGGCTGACCATGCCAAAGGCTTTAGAAATGTCCAGATATAGCACTAAGACTAGAAATCCTTGGCTACGTAGAGAATAGACTAAATTAAAGAAGTCAAAATGACATGTCATGCAAGAACGATTTTTGAGAAATCCATGTTGAGTATCATTGATAAATTTTCCAGCAAGTAAATAGTTAGAAAGTTCATCACTTATAATTTTTTCCATAATCCTAGAAATAACTGGAGTAATTTTTATTGGCAGATAACTGTTCATGTCAGTCTTATCTCCAGATTTGTGACGTGGTATGATGTACGCGGTTTTCCAACAGTAAGGGTAAGAACCGGTTTCCATAGAGAGAGTAAACAGCTTTAGAAGAAGAACTGGAATATCTGGACCACCATATTTGTCCAGAAATGATGAAATCCCGTCTACTCCATGACCTTTCGAAAGCTCAAGGGTATTTATAGCCTTATTAATTTTCATACATGTGAAGGAGATAGATTTTATTGAGTTGCTAGTCACGCACATAACTCTTGAAGCATAGCCACTTATGTTTTCTACACCATTCGCGAATGTACTACTTTAAAGGTCAGCCATAGTTTTAGAGTCGTATATAAAAGTGCTATTATGCTGGATGCACGGTATATCAACATTTCGAGTTGCTTTAGTGCGTTTATTGAAAAGGAGAGTTAAGTTTTGTACTTTTGAGTTAGCATTAACGGCTAACAGCTCCTCATTAATGGCCTTTAACCTATGTTCCTCTTTAATTTGATTAAAAAATTATTGTTATTTGTGCAACTGCTGTGAAGTCGTTTGACTTAAAATAACGATTCTGTAGGCGTTTTAGTTTATTACGATATTTAGCTGGTATATATAATTCGTAAGGTTTACTAAACCTGTACGTTTTAAGAGGTACACTGGAATGTAAACAAGAGTTATTGATCAAATAGAATTCGTCGATAGCATCTATGAGACTATTACATGAAAAAAAGTTATCCCAGTCTGAAAGTTTAATCAATGAATCCAGGAGGTCCCAGTCAGCATGCTTATAGTCTCTATATTGACAGGTTTTTTGAATGGGTGGGTTATAAGAGAGATAGATAGGGAGAGCGCAAACTACTATCTTATGGTCACTGCTTTCAAATTCATCATATACTTTTACATATAGTGGGATAACATCTCTACTAAATATTAGATCGAGTATACTATCGCCTCTAGTTGTGGCACTAACCCACTGTGACCAGCAGTGCATGTTAATGGTTGCCGAGAACTCATCATTACATGACTGACAACTACCGGTACTCCAGTTGACCCCAGGATAATTGAAATCCCCAGTGATAACCTTAGCATTAAAGTTTAGAGAGGATGCATGTATGAATGCATTGATGATAAGATCATTCCCACTATTCGGACTATCAGGAGCTCTGTATATACATCCAAGTAGTAGACTATGATTCAGGGTGTTGACTGATATCCAGACTGATTCTGGTAAACTATTCAGGACACTATCTTCAACTTTATTAGTTGTTAGGTTATCCAAAGCATATATAATACAACCACCTCCTCGCTTAGTTTCTCTGTCACAGCGATAAAGTCGATAGTTCTGAATATTTAATTCTGAATCAGATACTGCTTGAGAGCACCATGTTTCAGTGATAAGTATGAAAGAAGTCTTGGCTAGAAAAGCTAATGTTCTCAATGCTGAAATTTTGTTCAGAAGTGAACGTGCATTGATAAGTAATAAGTTTAAAAAGGGATTATGGAGTGTAAAAAAACCAAGAGCTTCCCTATTGATGTTGTGTATTTTGGAATTGCATAGACTGTGGTTTATTATGATTGACTGATCGTATGGGCTATCGCTTGAACAAACTGTATTGCTAGTTGGACCAGGGATTTCTGAAGGCGGAAAAAATCATTATTTTGATAAAGTGGATTAATTTGTTGAACTTGACTAGACGGAAAGTTAAGATAAACACCTGCCAGTTGGGGTTGGGTCGATGGTGAGTAACCTAGTAATCCATCTTGCTCAATGGAAAAGTGATGAGAATAGTTACGTCTTACAGGTTTATTACTTAGAACGTTTGATGTTGAGTAACCTAGTAATCCATCTTGCCCAATGGGAAAGTGTTAAGAATAGTTACGTCTTACAGGTTTATTATTTAAAACGTTTGAGGATAACCGTAGGGCGCGTTGGTT